ATATATCCTACTATAACTTTTTAATATAATGTAACAAAGGACTGCGGCTGTTGAAGTAAAAGTTTCCTTGCAAATATTTTTAATGTATTCAGTTGGTGCAGTGGTGATTTTTTTATGTTAGGCCCTCTTTTGCTCTATTTTGTCATCTGCAGCACATCAGAATCTAATAGCAGAGAGTACTATTGGCAAGCAGTATCTCACTGCCTGACACACTTAACTCTCTGCAGTTTCTACTCTCCGAGGTTAGCAGGTTCATATTACCAGCTGGGARAAGATGCCAAAATTCTCACCCTTGACTTCTTCCTGATAAAAGAGCAAGATTCCCACTCAGAGTGCTGAAAGTTGATATTAACTTTTTCTTTTCTTTATCTCTGTCTCTTCTTGTTTGTGTGCAGCTGGAAGAGGCAGAAGAGGAGGCCGTGGAGGAGAAAGAGAAACTGGTGAGCAGAGTGGGTGGAAGAATGGCATGAGAAGAGGATGGAAGCCGTTTTGGGAGGTGGTTCGAAGCGAGTGAACCCAGAGCAGGTGAACACAGCTGCGGATCGCCATGGGCTCTCTGGCTGCTTCCTCCCGTGGCCCTCGGTGTTGTGTGCAAGGGGTCCTGAAAAGCCAGCCAAGGCTGCAGCGAGAGTGGGCAGGCTGGGCCCAGCAAGCCAGGAGAGGCAGGTGATGCAGGCGAGCTGAGTTCCCGTTCCCGCCGGCTAAGAGCTTTCCTCTGCAGACTGGAACAGCAGAAATCAATATAGAGGAGAGAGGCTAGCAGAGGTTGCCCATCACAGCCTGCAGGCCTCGGAGCCCAGGGACCAACCACCACCACTACTCCCAGCTCCTGTCTCCATCTTCTTCTATCTTCCTCCTGGAGTCCCAATACCAGCCGAGGCCGGGGCCGGGGAAGGGGCCCTAACCTCACAACTGCCCCGCTCAGAGTGTGTCAGCGCACATGTGTAAGGAAACAAAGGGGAGAGAAAAAAATCACGCTTGGTTCACCTGGAGGTGTTTTCTCTGGTGTCGAACACCACTTGGTAAAACTTTGTCCGAGACGAAGGTGGAAGGAGAGACGTGACGTCGACGGTCCCGTTTCTTCCAGCTCCTCGCTGCACCTTCACTTTTGTGAATGAGGATCAGTCTGAGATGATGCTCGGGACGTTTCAGCTCAGTCCTGGGTTTTTTTTCCCGAGCACGTACGGCGCACAATATTCCTAAGATGTTCTGATCCAGGATAAAAGAACAATTTGAACTTTTTTCCTCTCATCTGCTGTTTCAGGCAGAACCTGTCTTTTCACCTTAGATTTTCTTACAGCAGCAGCTCCCATCAGAGGATATGGCAGCGCGGTATTGATCTATGAGGTGGAAGAGAGAAAGGCGGCGCTTTCATACCTCACACTCGTGTGTGTGCGTGTCTGTTGGGGTGGGGGTTTAGCACCTGAAGACCACTTACTGCTGTGCAGAAGGGATCCCATGACAGCTCAAGTGAATGGTTGCTAATTGAATGAGAGGTGGAATGGAGAGGACCCTGGTTTTTATCTGTGCACTGCCCCCCCGTTTTAAATCTGGCTTTTTTTTCCGCCTTAAAGAAAAATTCTGTTTGACATCAGTGTAGAACTGAACACCCCCAGAAAAWAAAGAGACAACTTCATGTGATAAAATCATTTGAAATCTTTGGACTGGCCTTAAGGACAAATGGACAGAAACCTGATACCTAACATGAGATTATGCAGAGATGCACGCCCCCTCGGTGAGTATAAACTAAATATTCACTTTTGTAGCCATACTGAGGTGTTTCTTGTCACAATAAAAGAACATTCCCCTCCTACAATCCTGCGTGTTTTTTTATTTATTTTATTTTTTAAGGTGAGAACTTGTGTTGCCATTCATCTTTTCTAGTCAGCTCTGAGCTGTGACCTGTRTGTCACAGACTGTCGATGCTCCTTCGAAGTTGCCCGTACCAGGGAAGATATTAAAGTGTGATTCTAACTCCCCGTCCCTCCAACCTCTCGCCTGCCAGTCTCCTGGCACACAGATAGAAACTGGCGCCTCTCTTAGCCTCAGCCTGGCAGCGGCCCGTGCTTACAAAATGGCCGATTCCTGTCTGCCAGCTGTCTTTCCCTCAGCCAAGATGGCGCTTAGTCGCCTGCTTTTTTCCTTCATATTTTTTTTGGCCTAATGCCCGCTGTTTGCCATCTGCCCTGTGATTGTTAACGGCTCTGCAAATAGCTTGTAATTGCCTTTGCATGTGCTTGATGCTTACCCCCCCCCCCCCCAGCTGTAAATAATAGCATGAGCATGAAAGGAATGGGAGAAAACACAACACTGAGTGATTCCTGAATGAACACGCAGCAGGAACAATTAGCAAATGAATGTCGTTCTGTCCTTCCCTATAAGCTCACCTGATTCCGCATGCAAATCGCCGATGCTGGTTTTGTTGCATTAGCTGAAWAAAATACCTCGCGGCTCTTCAGAGAGCAGGCTGGTATGGAGACACTCGTGTATTTTCTCATTGTGCCATATGTGACATCTGTGGTTGGCTGCATCACARGGGTGCCCTGCCTCCCGTGACAGGCGAAGCCCACACTGTAAAGGAGGAGCAGAAGCAAGGAGAGAGGCATAACATAATGACCTCATTAGCATGCTCCGCACTCCTTGCTATAGACCCTGGTGCTCGGCTGCGCCGTGGGACCCACCGGTGTACGCCCTTCTCACAGCACTTAGCATGCAACATTGTGTTCTCCTCACACAATGCGGCGCTTCATACRGGCTTTATTACGCCTTGTCAGAGCACCGGGGATCAGGGGTATCAGTGCAGAAGTAGCAGGATGCACACTGTGTACGTGGAGCGGGAGATGTCTTGGTGCTTAATGGTTTTAATGTGGCGTTAGCCGCACCGACGGATTCCTGGGCGCTGCTGTTCTGCACGCAGACGTGCGCATTTGTGTTCCTCCGCTTCGTGCTTGTTTTATGCAATTGTCTGTTTTATTGTCGGCTGGAATTTCTGGCTGTTTTCAGCTGTCAGTGTTAATTATTGCMAAGGCTGATTTGGCGGTACGTCCTGAAACTAGGCCACTCGTTCACAATAAAGACCTGCTGAACAGCATCTGTTGTTAGCCTTAAGTTGGCTTATCTTTGAACTGTAGAGGGTAAAGAGATGGGAGATGGCACAGTTTTGTTTTGTGACATTCAAATGTAGCCTTTTGTGTGTCGTTAGGATGGGTCACAACAACAAGCTGAGAGCCGTGATGAGCAGGAAATGCTAAAAAAAAATCAAAGTTTTGTGAAATTCAGCCTCAGCGTGTTTTTTTCAGCATTAGAGTGGATAACGTGCTCACACTTTGAAAAGCAGGTGATAACGTTTTAGTCCATATTTGCAAAAGTGTTTGTCAGTTTGTTAGCAAAGCACCATCTGAACCGCTGGATGGATTTTAAATTAACTCTCAAAAAATAATCTGTGAACTTTTAGAGTCAACCCAAGTCATGATGGGCACCAAAACCAACTGATTTTAGGAATCACAAATGTGCCCACGACTCACTTTTACAGATATTGAGTTAAAACTTGGTGTGGTAGTAGCTGAGAGTGATTTATGACACATAGCGTGAGCTCTAACATACCATGGAGATCACACATAGCTGCTTTGTTTAAGATGTAATCAAAATGGTAACACTGAAATAGACAAACAGCGGCTAAGTCACGTTTTAAGTAATGCCTTTATTCTGATTAAATACACTCTGATTAAGTGTTTTGGATTTTAATATTTGTCTGAATACATATGAAGCATTCAAACTGTTGCGATAATCTTTTTTTCTGTTTGTTTTTCAGCACATAAATCATTCCTCAATTTTTGTGCCACTTCAACATTTCATATATCAAAATGTTCAGCTCCTTCAGGACACTCCAGCAATGGCTTTTGATATTTCAGCAATGTACACGTTTTGTGATATTTAGTTTTTCTGCCATTTTTCTCATAAAAACAGAATGGAGCTGTATTCATCATCCTAAAAACCCTTCAAAATGTTCATACATATTTACAGCACATTTTTTATTTTTTTGTTATGGTTCTGCTTTTTTAACTTCTTTATGACAATTTCAGCTTTCTTTTGGCTTCTTTGTAGCTAATTTTAGCTGTTTTCTGCTACTTAACTTCTCCAACTTTTTTGTGCTTCTTTCAGCTTCTTTCTGCTCATTTCAGCTGTTTTCTGTGTTTTAGCTACTCTTAACTATTTGCAGCTAAATTCAAAGTTTTGTTGTAATTTCAGCTTTTTACTGCTTAATTCATCGACCRTGCTCTTTCCATTTCTTTGTGCTAAGTTCAGCTACTGTTTAGCTACWGTTCTGCTAACTTCAGCTGTTTTAGCTATTTTACAACAAATTGCAACTTTTATGTACTTCTTTTGTTGTTTTCCAGCTAATATGAGCTTTTTTTACTCTCTTTCCATCATCATTTCAACTGGTGAAATGAAGACCCCTATTAACTTCAAGGTCACAAAATAAAAGGTCAAGGTCACAGGTTGGCTAATTTCTGAGTGTTTTACTATCTTTGGTCTAAATTTCCACTATATTATATATATACATATATATTAGTATAAAACAGCTGAAATGAGCAAAATGTAGCTGAAAGAAGCACAAAAAAGTTGGATAAAATAGCAGAAAACATGTAAAATCAGCTACATAGAAATCAAAGAATATTTTTAATATATTATATTC